GTCCCCGCTGTTCAGTTTAAATGTTTATCCAGAAAATCTGTGAATTAAATGCCAAGTAACTCAGTCCCTTTTTTTGGATGGGTGCAAACCATTTATTTTGTACAGTTTTTCATTGGACCAGCTGCAGGCATCATGACTAATAAAACCAAAGCCTTCCCTTTTACACCAGTCCTTTAGTCACACATTAAACTCTGCTACACACTGGCCCTTCCCTTTTTGTTCCTGATATACTGGTAAAACCTCTGAAGATAAGCCTACAACCTATACTACTAAGTTCATACCCCAAGCTCTGGAAATCATTCTTCACGGAAAGTACATCTTTTTGGGACAGATCATTTGTGCCAAAATGTATAATAGCATCAACGTCACAGTCCTTACTTGCATTCTTGACTATCTTAAGAATACGCCTCTTGTCTCTGCTGGCAGTAGCACCTGGTAGACACCTGACCTCTTTTAAAACCTCCACATCCTTTCCTAAATTTACATCCCTTATGATTGAATCACCAACCAGAAGGTGACTTCTCTTTTTACATACCTTGCTCTTCTTGTGCGACTGATGCGTCATACCTGGTTCCCCATTTCGCCTTTCCGAAGAAAGTTCTTCATTTTGGACCACGATCCCCTGCTTATTTGAGTCATCACAACTCACACCACAACTACCTTGACCTGTCACTTTAATGTCCCCATTAAGGTCAGCAAGGGCGCTATATCTGTTATGTGGGGACACAGCAAAAGCTTTGTGTTTTGATAAGCACTTCCCAAAAACAGGAAGGAGGAAGACCGAGAGGAAGTGGCTCCACCCACCTGGCTGGTCCCCCAATCCGGACTCTTCACGGGGGTACTCTTCCTTGCTCTTGGTCTGCTCCGAATCCTCTCCTTGCTCAATCCGGGCGAGGAGTTCTGGTTTGGAGACGGCCATGTCTGCGGAGTAAATGACAGCATCATAGGTAGTCCTGGACTTACAATGGTTCTTTTAGTGACCATTCATAGTGGCCATTCATAATGACCAGGTTTCCAAAAGATGCCCAATTGATTCATGAGCCTCGGCCAACTTTCAAAAGAAAACCAGTCATTTATTAGGAGCACCATTTTGACAATACCCCATTGCAGTCAGATCATTTGAATTATGGCTGAACTTCACCCCTGCTCCTTCCCTCCCCTCAGTCTGTGTCATGAATCACATTCACCACCGAGATTCATGCCTCACAAGCCTGCTGTAGTAATCTGAGATCCGGACTCTAGCCGAAGGTATGCGTGGAACGCACTCCCCCTCTCCCTTTCCTCACCAGGGCAACTTTATGAGTTGACACAGTGACATCCCTAAAGAAAGTGACATGACCTTTTTTCGCACTTACGACCCTTGTAGCATCCCTGTGAGCAAAAACATCTATGAATGTGCAGAAATGGACAGAATGANCTACTTTATCACAAATATCAGTGGTTATATATCTCAATATTTAACAATAATTAACCTTTCTTAATATCACGTTTCAATATCTAGACAATCCTATACATTATTCTATTCTATTTTTAATCCTTAACTATTATGCATCACAGAATTATATATCACACTGTTTATCTTACGCAAATTAATATCTCTCAGTTATTCGGTTATACAGATACTCAGTTCTAATAATTAGTTTCTCTATGTATTTCTTTAATCCAGTTTATGTCACAGCTGATTCCTCTTGCGTCGGCCTTCGCAGCTCATATTTGTAGAGAATATCTCCCCCCCCCCAAAAAAAAGTGTGAGTTCTTCGTTACCTGGATTTATTGTTCACGGTTGAAACTCTGTTCAAAGTTTAGCTATTCTTTGGATAGAAAAAAGAGCAGAAAGGAGAAGGAAAGAAAAAACAAACACCAATCAGCTCGACTGTCATACAGTCCTTGATGTGGTTTCCAGGTCTTCTCAACAGCCAATATATCCCGCTCCCGTTGTCAATGCCGGCTTTTGGTTCTTTCTCCTCCCTCTCCTATCGGGTTTCCCACTGCGGCCACTTCCGTTCTATTATTCACGCTGCCACTTTCAGATCTCCAGATCACCCTCTCCGCCAATTTCGCGTTGTCGTCCTTTTTTGGGGGATTGTCAATGATAACAAATTCCTCAATTTCAACTGCTTTCTCTATTTGCTTCCCTCTTACGCGGGTCACCATCGCTCCAATCCTGTCCAAGTGGCAGGATAGATCCTCGTCCGTTTAGTGGGTTTCTCCTACCCACTGGGTGGGGTTTGCCTTGCAACCCCAGTTATCTTCAGAGTTTCCCGCCCTGAATCTGCCGATCCCTTCAGGATTCGCAGCATTCAGAAATGAGCCCAAACGAAGAGGTTTGAGTTATAGGTTACGGGAGCTACCGTTCCTCAACCCTAGCACGCTGACGTCACCGCCGGAAGCCTTCGAGTCACTGCTATTGTTAACGTTACTCGCCATGGTCGTTAAGTGAATCCCTGTCATTGTTAGAAACACGGTGCTTAAACGAGTCGCTGCAATTGTTACATTACTCAAATGGTCGCTAAGTAAATCTTGGCCGTTATTAAATTAGGAACACGGTTCTTAAGTGAATAGTTGCAATTGTCACATTAATTGTAGAGTTGTCAAGTGAATCCAACTCCCCCCCCCACTCCCCAAAGCGATGGTCGCAAAAGGAGATCACCTAACCCCGGGGCCGTCATAAAGATGAGCTGGTTGCCAAGCCTCTGAATTTTCATCCAGTGACCAAGGGGGTACTGCAATTATCACTAAGAGTGAAAATGGCCATAAGCCCCTTTTTTTCTGCTGCTATCATAACTTTGAATGATCGCTAAGTGAACTGTTATAAGTTGAGACCTATAAATGCAGGCCCAGTGCCCAAAATCATATGAACCTGGGAGTTGGAAATTCAGAACTGCGCTATAAGTATTTTTTGGGGTGGGTGGGGGGGTCCGTTGTAACTTTGAATGTTTGCAAAGGGAATAGACATCAGCTGAGGACAACTGTACTGGCTGGGTCTTACACCTTGTAGTAAAAAGGGCGGAACATGACAAAAATCCATGGGCTGAGAACCTACAGTGTTACCGGGGGTGGGGGGGGGATTGGAATTAAGAGCTAATTTAGGATTTGTCAAGCTGGACAACTTGAAGCTGTTTGGACTTCAACTCCCAGAATCCCCAAGACAGAATGCTTTAAGAGGGGAAGAGTCGACTCCCAGAATCCCCCAGCAAGGATGCATTAAGAAGGATAAATTCAACTCCCAGAATCCTCCAGCCAATATATCCTTGGTAACATGGAGATATGGATGCCCAGGAGAGTCAACAAACCTGAAGAACATGGTTCTAATCCTATCTGATCCACTGGATTGAAGCGATGATCTCCGATATTTGCAACAATAGGATTTTCCCTTATCTGCCGGATAAGTTGGTTCCCCTACAGTAAACTCCATTTTCTCCCCCAAAAGACCAATCAGAAAGTGGGATTGTCCAGGCTAGAAAACCTCCCCAATTGGACAGAAAGGTAGATACCATTAATATTGCTATTTCAGAAATTGGCTGCCAAAATCCTGAGCCCTGTTTTGTTTGAACGTGTCCCAAAAATCTGTGCCTCCTGGATTTGAACCTGGTTCCTGCCCAACTCTGGTAAACTCCATCCCAGGTGCTTTTGGGGATCTTCCCTTCCCATCCAGGGGATCAACTGGGGTCCAACCCACCAAGATTGGGGAAGCCATGTCGGGAAGTGGAGCCCCCCCCCCCATTTTTACCGTAGGAGGAGGAGAGTGTACAGGCAGTCCTCTACGACTGCAACGGAAACCAGCCCGTCATGGTTGTAACCCCTCACGTTGAAGGTCGTTAATGTGGCCGCGCCGATTTTGAGTTCTTTTTCGCGAGGAGATTGTTGAGGGAGCACCTTGGCTTCAAAACAACGGGTTTCCTAAGACAACTGCTGCCGTCATTCAGAGAAAACAGCATTAAACAAGATCCCGGGACTATTGGAGGTTATCATAAACGGGGCTCAGGCGCTAAGGGCCCAAATGTGGTCATGAGATCATTGGGGGGGGAGGGGAAACCTTGAATACAATTCGTAAGTAACCCCCCTAATAGGCCCATCTGAATTTCAAGCGGTCATTAAGTGAACAGTTGTAGCTTGAGGATGCATACGACCACCATTGAGTCCAAAAAATTTGAGCGGCTAAGCAAGACAGTTGCTCAATGGATTTCGTCCCATTTTAACAACCTTTCTTGCCGGCATTGTTAAGTGAATCACTGCAGTTGTTAAGCTAGTAGCACGGTTGTTGAGTGAATCCAGCTTCCCCGTTGACTTGTCCTGTCAGGAGGTTGCAAAATGGGATCGGCTGACCCTGGGACACGGCAACGATCATAAATAGGAGTCGGTTGCCACCTTTGATCACATGACCTTGGAGACGCTACAACAGACATTAAGTGTCACTTTTTCCAGTGCTGTTACAACAGGTCACTAAATGAACACTTGTTAAGTTGAGGACTACCTATAAGCCTTTAACGGGGCCCTCCGACCTTCAAATGATCACTAAATGAGCAATCGTTGAGGACTATTTGTATCGGATGGGGAGCTTCAGGATAGCTGGTCTGAGACCCGAAATCTCTCACACCTAAGAGCAGTCAAACGACCCAACCCCAAACCCACAGATGACAAAGACGTCAGGGAGAGACACACCGAACTGACATGTTTTGCCAAGGAAGGGATACAAAAACCAACAACCGCCCGCAAAATTGTAGCCACAGACCAAACACCGGACGTCACACAGAAGAAAAGCTGGTTTCTCACAATCACTTCGGCCGACAATTGAATTCAACAACAGGGCAGTTCATAGCTAACTCAACCGATATTTACAGATACCTTGGGGGGGAAAAAATAACCAACACCACCACAACGATGGAGGGCAGATCTCTGCAATCCCGGAGAGTGCGAGAACAGGCAACACAAAATTCTGCTGGGACATCACACTGTGAAACCACACAACGTAAGAGCTGGGCATCAAGAGCAGAACCGCCAGGACCACTGGCTGAAGTTGTTCTCGCTTGGACGCGCGCCCTCGGCAAAGGACCAAACACGGTTTTAAAAGTAAAACAGAGAAGAGGGACAGACACGCCAATTAAGAACAAGGACCTGGGAAATGGGTGTTTCCAGTTTTACGGAGGTGTGGGAGGACTGGGACGCCCATCCTAGGCAGGGTCGAAGGACAACCAATTTGCTTTTCGCTATGGCCCAACGCCGTTTTGCCAACCTCTGCAGTGCACTGTGCAATCTGGAGTACATTGATACATGTGTAGAGGGTATATGTCGCAAGGCAGACTCGTATGGGCAAGTGTACGTGGCAAAGAAATGAGTGGAATTTGAGGGGGGGGCTGGAGAGCAACAGGAGGCAAGCCCTGTCTTAACTCTCCCAGGCATGCAAGGAGGTGAAGGATGGGTGGGCTACAAGACCTTTGCAGCCCACTCAAATGCAACTGGCGCATGACCCTTGCACAGGAGGAGCACACAGCTTATGTGTCGGCATCCAGCAGGTGTGCCCAGTGCAGGACAGAGGAGGTAATCAACGCTCCTGTGTCCCCAAGAGTACATACCCCACCACCGCCCCAAGGGGGCACTCCCCAAAGGCTGGCACGTCCCTTTCAGCTGGGCACGAACAACGCTACGGCTGCTCGGTTTTCAGGCCCATCAGCCCCGCTTGCGTTCCCAACATCAGGTGGTGCACGGTGGGGTTGCGGGTGTGGATTTTCTGGTGGCAGTTCAGTGACTCCTTGTAGCGGAAATTCTTCCCGCAGGTGGCACACTGGTAGGGCGTCTCGCCCGTGTGGACACGCCAGTGTTTCAGCAGATGGTCCCGCCGGATGAAGCTTTTCCCACATTCTGTGCACTGATATGGCCGCTCACCCGTGTGGATCCGTTGGTGACGCACGGCTTTGGAGAGGTCCCGGAAGTCCTTGCCACAGTAGGTGCAGGTCAGCGGCCCGTCTCCCTTCCCTGCGTGGAGTTTCTGGTGAAGGAGCAGGCTGACCTCCAGCTTGAAGCTCTCCTTGCACTGGGTGCATGTGTATGGACGCTCCACCATGTGATTCCCGGGCCGTTTCACTGCAGTGGGTTTCGCGGTTGGGCTCCTCTGTGGCTCAGGGCGTTTGTGCACCTTGGGACGAGCAGGAGTTGAGGCCCTCTGGATAGAGAAGGGGGTGAGCTTAATCTCTGGGTTTCCTTTAAGCTCTGGCACAAGGTACGCCCCGCTTCCGCCATGGGTCTTCTGGTGGCTGGTGAAGAGCTGCCTGTCCACAAATCCTTCTCCACACTCGCAGCAGATAAAGGGGCCGGTGTGAGCTTCGGCTGATGTGACCGAATCCTCTTTCTGTGTCTCAGGCAGCCCTTGCACGGACCACCGGAGGGGCTTTTTGGGCGGGGTGACGGAGACAGTCTGACTCTCGCACAGAAGCTCCTCTCCGGGACCCTGGAAAACTTCCGTCCACTTGTGGGGGAAGAGGTTGTCGACATCCTCCTCCAGCAGCTGGGGAGCACCTGGCAAAAGAAAGGACACAGGGTCAGAGGAGGGACGCCCCCAGCAGGCCTGTCTATAGAGGTAAGGTCTCCCCCCCGCTTCTTCTTAACGCCACCTGCTGCCGTCTCCTGCTCTGATCCTTGTCATACGAGCAGAGAGATCGGACAGGGTGGAGTTTCCCAATCTTTCCAGCCTTGAGGAACGGCAAAAGGGGGTGGGGGGGTGGGGAAAAGAGATGCTTCTGCACAACTAGCTGACAAGCAGTTGAACACATGTACATCTCCATTTGCATGCACGTTGTATACACACACTTGCCGCATATGCAAATGGAGCTCATGTGCACGTGTTCTCCTGCTTGTCACGGAGGTGGGGGTGCAACTGTGTGCGCCTATCGCTTTTGCAGCCTGGTTTGCAAACACCTCACCATGGCTCGGAGGTTGGGGACCCCTGGGAGGGCTTCCTTCCTGACCCCTTGGTGTGCCCTTCCCCCTCACATTTTCCCAGCTGGGACAAGTCACATCGAACGACACAGAAAAAGGCCATCTTGTCCAACGAACGAGAGTGCTGGGCAAGGACCGCCGTACTACCCCTTCCAAATCCCTCCTCTCATTAAACTCGTTGTCACAAAAGCCACCTCACACCTGCGCTTCACATTCGTTCAGTGCCAGTCTGTCATAGACACTGGGGGGGTGGCGGGGGAGATTGACAGAGAGGGGGAAGCTTGAGGGAAGTGAAACGCATGCCTCTCAAGAGACCCTACACACTTATTTTGGACGATGGGGGAACCAGCTATGGGAAGTATCTCGGAGGGAAAAGTTATATTGGCGTGCGAACCTCAGATCCGGCTCTTGCTTTACTGTATTTCACTTGACCTTTCTCAAGAAATGGATTCAAGGATCGCTCTTGCTTAAAGGTTCAAGTTGAGGCAGGACTGGCACTCATGGGCATCTAGAGCCGCCTGGCACCTCTCGGACTAACCCCCTTGAGTGGCCCCACTTTCTCCTGCCTATGACCCTGTAGCTTCACAAGCAAACTACCCCATTGGACAATTGGACAATACGGCGTTCCTCATTCATTCCCGAAGACAGCCGAACACCACCCTTCCCTGGGAATATTCCCAGGTGGTTTTCCAAATGTCTAACTGGTCACCTGCTCCTCCCTCCTTCCCCAGTGTTCCTCTTACCTATGGTGCACTCCCCAGGGATTTCTCTGTCCTCTAAGGCCCCCATGCTTTTGACGAGAGACAGATCTTCTTCCTCAATCCAGGAACTTCCATGGAGAGCCGAAATTGGTGATCCTGTTCAAGGGAGAGGAGGATCATCAACCCCAGATCCCCATATTCCAAAGAGGAGCCACACTTCTTGCCACCTCCCCTCTCCGTGTTCCAGTAGCTAAACCAGTGTTTTTGAAACTCAAAGAGAATGCAAAGTGGGTGGACAACTCCCAGAATCCCCCAGTCAGCGTGCTTGAAGAGGGGTGGACTTCAACTCCCAGAATTCTCTAGACAGCATATTTTAATACAGATGGGCTAACTCCCAGAATTCCTCAGCCAGCATGCTTTAAAAGTGGTGGACTTCAACTCCCAGAATTCTTCAAACACCATCCACTGGGGAATTCTGGGAGTCAAAGTCCACCGGAGTTTAGAATGAACTTCAAAATTCATCACACAAAATGAGCAATTTTTTTAAGGTACTGGAAAGTTTTTAGAATACAAGAATAGATTAGCAGAGTTGTAAGGGACCTTAGAGGTCTTCTAGTCCAACCCCTTGCCTAGCAGGAAACCCCTATACCGTTTCAGACAANTCCTTTCTGCTGGGGATAGCCAATTCGGGATTTTCACAGTGGTTTTTTTTTAATTTTGAGCCAGTTTTGCAATAACACATTTCTAATTAGATTTTTTGAAAGTATTTGTGGGTTTAGGAATGTATGCCAACCTGCTTGCAGATCATAGCCTTCTAAAGTCAAGATTCTTTTATTTTTTTATCCAATCCTTCACCCGCGTTGTTGTTACTGCTAATGCGTATAGCTCCCAGTTTGGTAATACTAAGCCTCCACTCTCCTTGCTATCTTGCATTGACTTTAGTTTAATCCTCGCTTTTCGTCCTTGCCAGATGAGCCTAGCAGTTAGTTTGTTTAATTTCTGAAAGAAAGTTTTACCCGGATTAATAGATGCGGCTTGCAACAAAAATAAAATTCTTGGTAAAATATTCATTTTAACTGTGGCTATAGTCCCATTAGAGATAGCTGAATATTTTTACAGCTTTCTAAATCTTTCTTTATTTGTGTCACTAATTTATTATAATTGTCGTCCTTAATTGTAGAACATTTTGCTGACACCCAGATCCCCAAGTATTTCACTTTCTTAGTTATTTGCATTTTAGTTACTGATTCCAATTCCTCTTCTTGCTTTTTTGTTATATTCTTAGTTATCACTTTTGTTTTGCTTTTATTAATTTTTAATCCTGCCACTTTGCCATATTCTTCTAATTTTTGAATTAATTTCCGACTGGATTCTAGTGGATCCTCTAAAACAAATACTAGGTCATCAGCATAGGCTTGGGTTTTATATTCTTCATTTTTAAGTCTTAAATCTTTTATTCCTTGGTCCTTCCTAATTTCATTTATTAATATTTCCAGAGTTAGTATAAACAGCAAAGGAGACAGGGGGCATCCCTGTCTAAATCCCTTTTTTATTTCTATCTTCTCTGTTAGTTCTCCATTCATCAGAACTTTGGCTGTTTGGGTGTTATAAAGTTTTTCTATCATTTTTGTAAATTTTTCTCCGAATTTCATCCTATGTAGTTGCGTTGTTATAAATTTCCAAATTACGTTGTCGAATGCTTTTTGTGCGTCAAGGAAAACCAGTACCAATTGCTTTTCTGGATGCACCTCTTAATATTCTAATGTCTAGGATGACTCTCGTATTATTTTTAATGTGTCTATGGGGTAAAAATCCATCTTGTTTCATTCTTCCTGCCATAATCGCTGCAAATATTTTATAATCGGAATTCAATAGTGAAATTGGTCTGTAGTTTTAGATTTCTTGTAGGTTGGCTTCTTCTTTCGGGATTAGCCATATTATTGCTTCCGTCCATGATTCAGGCATCTTGGCTTTTCCTAAGACTTCGTTAAACATTTCCACTCCTAGTTGTTGCAATATTATTTTATTATATTTATATAACTCCACTGGGATTCCGTCTGGTCCTGGAGTTTTATTACTTTTCTGGTTTTTCAGGATTAATTCCACTTCAGCTATCGTTATTGGCCTGTTTATTGCCTCCCTTTGCTCTTTTGAGATTGGAATGATCTTTTCTGGGTTTAAATATTGTTTTATCTTAGTTTCCTTCATACTATCTTGCGCGTATAGTTTTGCGAAATATTTTTGAATAATATGCTTCTTCCGATTTATGTTGAATATTTCCCTCATCATCTTTTAATTGGTATGTCATCCTTTTTTCTCTTTCATTTTTCATTCTGTATGCCAGCCATCGTCCAGATTTGTTGGCTTGTTCAAAGTAATTTTGTCTGGCTGCTTTAATTTTCTATGCTAATTCTTTTTGAGTTATTAAGCTGATCTTATGTTTTATCATCTCTCTTTTTTCTTTTTTAATTTTATTCTTTGGGTCGTTCTGTAATTCAGCTTCGGCTTCCCTAAGCTCTTTTTGCATACGTACTTGTTGCTCTTTATGTTTTCTGATTTTTCTCGCAATGTAGGCAGTCGTAAGGCCTCTTATGTGTGCTTTCGTGGTGTCCCAAAGATTTTGAATTGAGGTGTCTTCTTTTTTATTTATTCTAAAAAATAGTTTTAATTCTTTCTCCAGCANACGTCCGCCGGGGAGCTTTGCTCAGGGAGGCCGAGGGGCTGCACCGTTGCCGGGTGCTGGGAGTTCATGTCCCACTGAAGGCCCTGTTGGCAAACCGGGGGGGGGGGGGGGGGGATCACAAACCCAGCCAGTATTCGATTTACGACCTGTTTGTTTAGTGACCATCCGAAGTTTATTTTAACCCCTTTATTCTATTTTGATCCCACTTGTGTTCATTGGGAAGTCATTCCAGGCAGCGAAGATCCCGAATAATCCTTCCTCTGCTAATTTTCCCTGTAACAACAACCCTATGAGGCGGGTTAGGTGGGACTAGAACTCACCATCTCCTATTGATTGGCCCAAAGCCACTCAGCTGCCTTTCAAGCCTAAGGCGGCACTAGAACTCCCTGTCTCCCTGCTTCTAGCCCCTCCACCATACAGCCCCTCTATTACAAGGGACGCAAAAGCCAGACTTTTCCAGCAAAAGCAGTAACTTTGAAGCACCTGGGTTCGAATTCCTCTTCTCCCCGCCCCCCCCCAGAAGATGAGAGGGCAATCTTCTAGGGGCGCCCCTGGAGCCCATATCTTGTCAAGTCCAGCCACCAAACCCAGATCCCAAGTTGGAGGAAGGCAGACTTTGCAGGACTCCTCCATCACCATCCCTGGGCAGGTGGAAAGGACACCACAAGGAGATCGCTTCCCATAAGCTAAGCAATGCAAGGGGGCAATCAAAGCTTGGGAGCAGTCCAGATCCCACCAGGCCAGCCCCCAAACCCAAGATCCAAACCTTGAGGTGGGCAGACCCAACAGAATCCCCCCCCATCACCACTAATGAACAGGAGGAAAAGGCACCACAAGGCGATGCCTTCCCAGCAGGTGAGCCTCCATCCAAACTTGGGAGGGGTCCAGACTCACCCCCTAACCAGGATCCAAACTTTGGGGTGGGTAGATCTTGCAGGACATCCCCCCCCCATATCAATCACCACCATTGGGCAGGTAGAAAGGGTACCACGAGGCGAGCCTCACACAGCAAGGGGGCAATCCAAGCTCGGGAGGCGTCGACACCCCCCCCAGATGCAAACCTGGAGGTGGGCAGATGTTGGAGGAGCCCCACCTCCCATCTCCACCACCCCTGCGCAGGTGGAAGGGGCACCACGAGGAGATCCTGGTCAGGTGGAAAGGGCACCACGAGGAGATCCCCTCCCAGCAAATCAGCCTGCATCCAAGCTCGGGAGGGGTCCAGACCGCCCCACCCTCAAAAAAAACCCACCTAGGATGGGGGGGGGTCATCTCCCCTCCCGTCCCCTCCCCGGACTTGGGAGTGGGGGGGGGGTTAGGTCTACTCCCCCTCCGCAAAGGGAGGTCATGCTCCCCCCTCCAGCCCCGCCCGGACTGCGGCAAGCCCCCCCACTCCGCCTGCCCGCTGACCTGGGCGGGGCTCCACTCGGCCATGGCCCGGCG